TTTATACTTTTTGATGCATTATGCATGTACTTATGTTGTATAGAACATTTGAGTTCATTTCAATCAAAATTATTATTTTAATAAATTTTTTAAATTGCTCAAAAATGAGTACCAAAGTACAAGATATTTGGCCAAATATCATGAAAAATGACAAAGAGAGAATTCACAACTTTAATAATTTTTATGATGCACACACACACGTGTTCTGACGTTGTGTAGAAATTCTGAGTTGATTCCGATCAAAATTGATTTTTTATGAATTTCTAAAGTTGATCAAAAATTGTACCAAAATAATATTCTTTACTCTAGCTACTTGTATGTTTAAATATAGCAACAATACACCTTTTTTGCCATATATGCTCATTCCTTCAACATTATAGCATATTTTTAAAAATAAAGTAAGTATTTAAGTGCAAAATTGCTACTACGAATAAATTTATGTGTATACATAGATTAGATCCAAAAAATAAAATTAAATCACTGTAGACAGATTTTGCTCTAAAATCACCACTTTTACCAGCCATACATGTAAATCACTATTATTCAAATTTTTAAACCTCAGCTATATGCAGGGGCAGGTTCATTTAAAATTGTTTTTTATGGCTGAGCAGTTGATTTTGCTCATAAGAGATGGCACTCACAATTTGAGGGATTTCACCATCTGACTATTACTGTCTTATAGCATCTCCTAGGGCCAAGAGTACTTGAATGCAACATAACATCAACATTAAAACAATTTCATATTAAAAGATCAAAACTATAGTAACTTAGGGGCTTTCTTAAAAATGAATAATGTCATAAAAGGTTTTAAACCAAGGTCAGACAGTAAAACAATAAACATAAAAATTACTATAAATAGCTATAGTATCTACAAATTACATTTATTTTGCTGTAAAATTAATCAATGAAAAAACAGTCAATATATCCATCTCATTCACTTCAAACAATTGAAGTAGCCAATGTCTTCATTATTACTGCATCATTAGCACCTTCATTAAAGCAATCAATGTCACCATCATTGGAATCTTCCTGTAGGCAATCAATGTAACCATCTTTATCATTAGCATCTTCATGTAAGCAATCAATGTAACTGTCCTTATCATTGGAATCTTCATGTAAGCATTCAACGTAACCATCCTTATCATTAGAATCTTCATGTAAGCAATCAACATAACCATCCTTATCATTGGAATCTTCATGTAAGCAATCAACGTAACCATCCTTATCATTGGAATCTTCATGTAAGCAATCAACGTAACCATCCTTATCATTGGAATCTTCATGTAAGCAATCAACGTAACCATCTTTATCATTAGAATTTTTGTGTGTGTCTTTAAGTCTACCTTTATGAAAATTGCTCTCTTTTTTGTTGCTATCATGACTATCATACACAGCTCCTCTTAAAGCTCTAGTTTTTTTTATTTTTACATATTTTTTGGGAGACATCATCATGGTATTAAACTGATAGACAAGGTCTTCAAAAGATGGTCGTCTCTCAGGCTCTAGCTCCCAACCTAAAAATGTATTTTAACTTCATTAAAGTAATTTGTAATTTTCTCAATAGCCTTATTACAC